TGTAGAGTGATGTTATTCTATTTGTTTGTTTATTTTGCTTTAAATGCCAAAAATGATATTAGTACTAATGGTGGAGATGACTAGCTGCCTTCCCTCTAGTCTTACACTGCTAAATTAGGGACGGCTAGCGCAGATAGCCCTCGTGTAGCTTTGCGCGAAATTCGAAACAAACAAACAATGTCCGAATGTGTGTAGAGTGATGTTATTCTATTTGTTTGTTTATTTTGCTTTAAATGCCAAAAATGATATTAGTACTAATGGTGGAGATGACTAGCTGCCTTCCCTCTAGTCTTACACTGCTAAATTAGGGACGGCTAGCGCAGATAGCCCTCGTGTAGCTTTGCGCGAAATTCGAAACAAACAAACAATGTCCGAGTGTGTGTGGGGTGATGTTACTCTATTTGTTTGTTTATTTTACTTTAAATGCCAAAAATGATATTAGTACTAATGGTGGTGATGACTAGCTGCCTTCCCTCTAGTCTTACACTGCTAAATTAGGGACGGCTAGCGCAGATAGCCCTCGTGTAGCTTTGCGCGAAATTCGAAACAAACAAACAATGTCCGAGTGTGTGTGGGGGTGATGTTACTCTATTTGTTTGTTTATTTTACTTTAAATGCCAAAAATGATATTAGTACTAAAAAATACATAGTGGAAGAGAAACTACGTTGTTAAGCTTTAACCCACCTGCTTATACGAACAAAAACGTACCAGATATTTGTATATTACGAATTTCATGTCATATTGATAAAGCCGCTGCTTACCATACGAGATCAAGTAACACCATTCAAGCTTGCCATATCTTATTAATATGGTTTTTTCTCCAGAATTAGCTTTGTTTGTTGCACAATTGATAATCGAAATATTTGAAAACCTACTCTACATTTATTTTCCACATTATTAAAGTTTCATTAAATTTATCAAAAATATTCTTAATTTTTATGTTACTTCCCTAACTCATTTAATATTTTCTATGCTATGGAAATAAATCTATATTATAATTCGATCAAGGTCAGATGTGGCGCGTCATAAGAACACGTAAACATTTATAAAGCTTATAAAAAAGGAGATATTAAATTTGGAATGTCCTCTTCGTATGAAAAACAAAAACATTAAACAAATA